CACTTCTCTTTACGGTTATGTTTTATTATTATTTTTGTTACATAGTAACAGGAGGCAACAGAACATAAGCAGCTGCTGGATAGTTTTGTTAGTAGCTTAAGGCAGTGGTCTCCAAACTTTTTTGATCGTGCACCTGTATCAGTAAAAAAATTTTTGAGCACGCACCCCCAATATATGTATATTTATTGGGGGTACCACTGAGGGTGCCACTGTCAACCCCTCCACTGACATACAGACCGAGTGAGGGCATCAGTGTCAATCCGTATGTTAAATATTAGTAAAGCTTAATTTCTTTCTTATTTTTTTAGATAAAAAATAAATATAAATAGAAGTTCTAATATTTTCTTCCCGCACCCCAATGAATCGTCTTGCGCACCCCACTTCGGAGACCACTGGTTTAAGGTATAGTAAAAACCTTGGCTGGAATGTTTAATGGGAAAAGGACTGAAGTTTGGTCTTTTTATTAAATAATAGTGTTTTGTAATGAAATGTTTTTTGTGCATCTCACAACTTGTTTTTTAAATGGAAACTTTAAAAGAAAATATTTAGTTGCTTCTATGAATTTTCTTTCCAGTTTTGCTATTTTGTTTAAACTGTTTTTTTTTATTGCACATTTTGACTGGACGGGGGGCGCATCTACATGTTCATTAATACACCTCAGATCTGCACAATTAATTTAGTACTTGCTTAATAAAGTATTAAGTAAATGCGCAGTACCTAAAGTTACTGCACAGTAGTGCTGGCACACAGTTATTTTGTGATGCTTACTGCCCATTAGCCTAGTAACACTGCGCAGTAGGTTATTAGCACCATTTTTAACCTCCATACTACTGTGCACTATTAGGCTAGTATGCAGTCAGTGTCTTCTGTAGACATGCACAGATTCAACAGATTTCAAAAATGAAAAATGTTTTTTGAAAAGACTTAAAAAAATATTTTTAGTGCATTTCAAGATACAATGTAATAAACAGTCAAAGGAAAATTGGAAAGTAGAAAATCAGACCTAATGAAACAGCACACTTACAAAACTATCAATGTTTTCCCTTAAATCTTCAACCAGGTAATCAGTTCTCTCTCTGAACAATGTTAATGCTGTTACACGTTGCTCATATTTTTGTCAATACATTTACACTTCTTAACACTGTAGACTCTAGGGGAAAGGACAAAGGAGACTGAAACATTCAATGTCTAGATTATTACTAAGTGCATTCATACCTTTTCTGTGTCGATCCCTTTAGACATGGACCACGTTGAGACAATGTAATCCATGACTCGTTCGCTAAGGCCTTTTGGGACTTGATATAGTTTTAGGAAATCCCTCACATTGTTCAGCATCTCATGGTATCGGTTGGTGTTAGCATACATTTGCTGGAAAATGGTGGTGACATTTCCAAAAATTGTTGCATAAAGAAGAGCTGAAAGAGACCAAATGATACAGATGAATTTGCACACTTCCCAAAAATAGAATTAATCATTTCAAGAAGCATCTTGCAGGAAAAAAAGCATGATTACAATTGACTTCACACATGTGCGTACACTGAAAAGTTCTAGTTACTGTATTTTCTGGTCTATAGGATGTAGTTTTTATCCCAAAACCAAGATTCTAAACTTAAAGAGTGTCTTAAAAATATGCAAAAATAAATGAAATAATTGCAATAAAAAGTTGACCAAAATTCAATCAAATTTATATTAATAACTTCTCCCCCACACAGTCTTTTGTCCTTTTTTTCCTGCGCCAAAATGTATCTTATATACAGGGAAATATGATACATATACAAAGTCACAAAAGATTCAGATGCTTCTTTCTGTATATAAATCAAAATCATTATTTCTAAGATGTCTGGGCTTTAGCAACTTTCTTGAATTTGCTCATCCAGCAGCAAAGCACTCTGAAAACAGATTAACTTAAATAGAAAGCAGCTGTACTCCACAAACCTGGGCCAGTTATGTGCCCAAATGCCCCCTGCTGTAATGTCAGTTTGCCGGCATGGCAGCTGCCAATGGCCTCAGGAGCAATAGATAGAATAATTGAAAATGAGGGTTGGAAAGGACTTCAGGAGTTCAAATCTAGTCCAACCCAGTGCTCAAAGCAGGACCGTCTCCAACTAGATCATCCCAGCTCAGGCTCTCTCTAGCCAGATCTTAAAAACCTCCAAGGATAGAGATTCCACCACGTCTCTAGGTAACCTGTTTTACTACCCTCCTAGTAACAAAATTCTTCTTAATATCTAACCTAAACTTCCCTTGCTGCAACTGAAGACCATTGCTCCTTGCTCTGTCATCTGCTGCCACTGAGAACAGTCTAGCTTCATCGCCTTTTGAACCCCACTTTAGGTAGCTGAAGGTTACTATCAAATCTCCCCTCGGTCTTCTCTTCTCTAGACTAAATAAACCCAGCTCCCCTAGTTTCCCCACATAAGTCAAGTGCCCTAGGTCCAGAACCATTTTCATTGCCCTCTGCTGAACTCTCCCTCAATTTGTCCCCATCCCTTCTGTAGCGGGGGGTCAAAAACTGAACACAGTTCTCCACATGTGGCCTCACCAGGGCTGAATAGAGGGGAAGAATCACTTCTCTTGCTCTGCTGGCAACACACCTACCAATGCAGCCCAGTATGCCATTAGCCTTCCTGGCAACAAAGGCATGCTGTTGGCTCATATTCAGCTTAACCCTGAGGTCCTTTTCTGCAGAGCTGCTGCCTAGCCAATCACACCCCACCTGTACTGGTGCATGGGATTGTTCCATTCTCAGTGCAGGACTTTGCCCTCGTCCTTGTTGAACTTCATGAGATTTGGTCCAATCCTCCAATTTGTCTAGGTCACTCTGAATCCTGGCCCTGCCCTCCAGTGTATCTGCTCCTCCTCCCCCCAGCTTTGTGTCATCTGCAAACTTGCTGGGAGTGCACTCTGTGCCGTCTTCCAGGTTGTTGATGACAATATTGAACACAACTGGCCCCAGGACCAGCCCCTGGCGCACTCCACTTGATACCAGTTTCCAACTAGACACCAAGCCATTGATTACTACTCTCTGAGCTCAATGCTTCAGCCAGTTTTCTATCCATTACAGTTCACTCATCCAGCCCATACTTCCTTAACTTGCCTGTGAGAATGTTGTGGGAGACTATATCAAAAGCCTTGCTAAAAATCAAGGTATACTGCATCCCCTGGTCTCCCCGCATCCGCAGAGTCAGTCATCTCGTCACAGAAGGCAATCAGGTTGGTCAGGCATGACTTGCCCTTGGTGGATACGTGCTGACTGTTCCCAATCAATTACTTCTCCTCCAAGTGCTTTGAAATGGATTCCTTGAGGATCTTCTCCATGATTTTTCCAAAAGCTGAGCTGAGGCTGACTGGTCTGTAGTTCCCTGGATCGTCCTTTTTTCCCTTACTTAAATATGGGCACTACGTTTGCCCTCTTCCAATCATCCAGGACCTCTCCCAATCGCCATGAGATATCAGAGATGATGGCCAGAGGCTCTGCAATCACATCAGCCAACTCCCTCAGCACCCTCAGGTGCATCCTATCCCATCCCATGGACTTGTATATATTCAGCTTTTCTAAATAATCCCTAACTTGTTCTTTCATCACTGAGGGCTGCTCACCTCCTCCCTAAACTGTGCTGCTAGGTGCAATATTATGGAAGTTGACCTTTCTTGTCAAGACAGAGGTGAAAAAGGCAGACTACTTCAGGCTTTGCTGCATCCTCTCTCACTAGGCTGCCTCCCCCATTCAGTAAGGGACCCACACTTTCCCTGATTTTCCTCTTGTTACTGACATACTTGTAAAAACCCTTCTTGTTATCCGTCACATCCCGTGCTTGCTGCAACTCCAGCTGTGCTTTGGCCTGCCTGACTTCATCCCTGTGTGCCCAAGCAATGCTCTCGTACACCTCCCTAGGTCTTTGTCCAAGTTTCAACTTCTTATAAGCTTCCTTTCTGTGATTTAGTTTGCTGAAGAGTTCCCTGTTAAGCCAAACTGGTCTTCTGCATTACATGCTAGTCTTCCTGCACATCGGGATGGTTTATTAATCTCAGTAAGGCTTCCTTAAAGTACAGCCAGATCTCCTGGACTCCTCTCCCCCTCAGACTGGCTTCCCAGAGGATCCTGCCCATCTGAGAGGGAGAGGAGTCCAGGAGAGCTGGCTGTACTCTTTGATTCACTCAGTCTGCTTTTCTGAAGTCCAGGGTCCGTACTCTGTAGCTCTCCATCCTTCCTTTCCTCAGGATCCTGAACTCAATCATCTCATGGTCACTGCTGCCGAAGTTGCCATGCATCACTACATCCCCCACCAATTCTTCCCTGTTTGTGAGCAATGGATCAAGAAGAGCATGGTCCCTAACTGGCCACTCCAGCACTTGCACCAGGAAAGTGTCCCCAACACTCTCCAAAAACTTCCTGGATTGCCTGCACCACACTGCTGTATTGCCCACCCAGCTGATGTCAGGATGATTGAAGTCCCCCATGAGAACCAGGGCCTGTGATTGGGAAACTTCCATGAGCTGTTTGAAGAAAGCCTCATCCGCTGCTTCCTCCTGGTCTGGTGGTCTACAGCAGACCCCCACCACCACATCACCTTTGTTGCTCTCTTCTCAGACCCTAATCCAGGGACTTTCGACAGGCCTGTCTCCAGTTTCATACCGGAGCTCTGAGCAATCATAGTGCTCATTTATATAAGTGCAACTCCTCCTGCTCTTCTCCCCTGCCTGTCCTTCCTCAACAGTTTGTACCAACTCACACCCCAGACATACACATAGCCCACCAAACAATACTCAGGAAGCCAAAAATCACAGGCAGCTCTGGATCACTTACCTTCCCTGGACAGGATCTGGTGCCCAGTGCCTGGCTTCTCTTTCCCTTCCTCTTAATACTCTTGCTCCCAGCAAACTGCCTAAAAATTGCTTGCCCTGTTTGCAGCAAACAGGATAGAGGGGGATGGGGATCAGCAGGATAGAGGGAAGCCCCAGCTATGCACCACTGCAACTGACCACTTCCCAAATACCAGCAAGGAGGTGATGGTGTAACAACCACTACCCCAGATAAAATGAATACATAGATAAATAATACGGCTGTGCAAAATTTTGCTGGCAGTTTGGTTTCGACGCGGTTTCGACTCGTTTCGAGCTTGAGACAACAAAACTGAAACAAACAGAGAGCTTTGAAACAGCCTTGAAACGAAATGAGGCAAGTTAAAACATTTCAAAATTTTCAAAACGTTTTGAGTTTCGAAGCTCAAGTTGGGCTTGCCTGCAGGGAAACAGAAACTAAAGTAAGGAGAGGGAGAGGCAAGATGGGGAAGGAGTGCTCTCATTATTGACCGTGTAGCTGGCCAGTGACTGTCATCCTTCCCTGAGGTCCCATCCAATCCCAGTGCTTTGGGGAGAGATGGAAAAACTGCATAAAAGGCAGCATTGTTTGACCTGCCCTGCTTTCTGCCTTGGTGTCAGTTGAGTGAGGGTGCACCTTATCACACATACAGTGTCACCCACCCATGTCTCGAGTTTTGCCGGTCAGCAGCCAGAGGCGCAGGGCCCCAGAACCCAGACCCCCCTGCACCTATCTCCTTGACAGCTGGCAGGCTTCGTGGCTGCATCAGGGCCTAGCAGGCCTGCAGTTTTCCCCTCCCTGTGCCCCAAGACAGACAGAGTCCCACATGCACCCATGACATGAGTTTTGCCTGTCAGCAGCCGGAGGTGCAGGGCCCCAGAACCCCTGCACCAATCTCCCTGACAGCTGGCAGGCTTCGTGGCCTCAGCAGGGGCTAGCATCCCTGCAGCTTTCACCCTGCTGCACCTTAATGCACATGGTGTCACCCATGGCATGAGGTTTGCTTGTCTGCAGCTTGAGGTGCAGCTTCCCCCAAACCTCTGCACCTATGCCCTTGAAACTTGGCAGGCTTTGTGGCCTCAGTAGGGGCCAGCACACCTGCAGTTTTGACCCCGCTTAACACATACATGTGACATGAGTTTTTTGCTTTCAAGATTTTGAGGTGCAGCTTTCCTGAAAACCCTGCACCTATCTCCTTGAAACTTGGCAAGTTTCATGCCCTCAGAAGGGGCTATCATTTCTGCAAGTTTCATACAAATCAGGCCAGAAATGACAACATTATAGGCTGTTTTGAGCTTCCCCATTATAGCCTATGGGCAAAATTTCAAAACAGCGTTGAAACAGCGAAACTGTTTCATAGAAACGAAACGGAACAGCAGTTTCAAATTGAAATAAATCTGAAATGGAACGGTGCCATTTAGCACAGCCCTAATGAATAACACTGGCACATGCCCCCTGTGTTGCAGCAGTCTTCGCCCCCATCGCCATGCAGCTATACTAGTTTTAGTGCCACACTCTCCCAGCAGCATTGCACAGAACAGTTGAGCCATCTCTGAGGATAAGGAAGACAAATAATTCAAGCCTAGAGAAAGA